TAGATGTCTCCTTCTATTTCTGCTCTGCCTGCTAGCCCTGCCTATTTTTGCTTCTGCCTTGCTATTGGCCGTTCATCACTTTATTAGGACCATCAGGTATTTTAGACAGGCACAGCAACACAGCTTCACAGAGTTAAACAAATACAGCATAAACAAAAGTCACACACCTAAAAATAATATTCCCCAATAACAGAGTTGTTCTCTGACCACGTGCTGTTGTTGTTCTGGACTGAGCTTGCCTGAGATGTTCGAATGTGTTTGTAAGCATAGAAGTACCCACTCTCATCCTGCTGTAGTTTATAGTGTTTGCAGCTCTTTTTTTTTTTTTTTAGCAGTATCTTAGACTTAAGGCTCTAAAAATCATTTTGTTTGTCAAGGGGTTTTAAATAAAGTATTTATCAGTTGGTAAATCTTTTAATATTAAAAACAAAATGTGGGCAGTTTTGAAGCTTTGCCTTTTAAATTGACCCAAGTTTCAAAAGGAATTTAGTCATTTGTGAAAGTTTCCTTTTACATGAGTCTCTTGTATGCAAATAAATGTTTATTTTATAAGGAAAACACCACACTTCATAGTACAGTGGCACTAATGGGTGAATCCTTTGCAGCTGTGGATCTTTCCTTTCAATTCTTTATTCTTTTTCCAAGGCGTGGTGCTTGATGAGAGAGACCTCTGAAGGCAGGATGCTCAGCAGCAGGAGCGGGCTACCCGTTGGCCCATTTTGGTCTTTTAAGCCATCTGATGTGCCTCAATGGGGCAGTTTTTCAGTTTCATGTTTGTACAGAAGGCTAACAGTGGTGAGCTAGCTTCCAGACATAGGCAGTTCCATAAGTTTCTGTTTCTAGACAGCACATAATTCGAGTAGCCAAACAGTACATCATCCATGCTATGATGCCAGCCCTTTGTGTGGGCTGTGGTCCATGAAAGCCTGGTGGAGCTACTAAATAAGTTCCAAGAGGTTTGAAGTCAGCTGACCTTTACTCATGCCTTGATTTGTCTATTCTCTAACAGTGGTTCAAATGAGACATTTTATTTATTAACTATTTTTGTTTTACTTTGTTTTTGAGACATAGTCTTATTGTGTAACCCTGACTAGCTTGAAACCTGCTCTGTAGACCAGGCTGACCCTGAACTCACAATTCTCGTCTGCTTCTCAAGTGCTGGGATTACAGGTGTATGCTATAATGCTTGGCTTGATTATGCTTTCCTTAAAGGAACCTGGAAATCCATAGTAATTGAACAAATAGCGATTATATTATGCTGCCGTTCTTCCTGTCTGGGAATGATTCTGATGCAGCATATGTGCAAAAACGTCAGTATACCCGAGGGAATTTTAACAAAACGAAAGCAAATACTCTCCTCAAGAACACCAGGGTGTGTGTATGCTTAGTCTAAAAATTATTTTTATGTTCTTTTTGGTCTAAGAAGCATAATTTAATATTATGTATTCAGATAGCTAAAGACACTGGCTGAGATATAGAGTAGCAGCCCTGTATTTTTTGACTCTAGCACATTTCATTTATTTACACAGTTTTTACTTTGCTTTTATTGTAAGGCTGAATATTTTCAGAACTGTTACAATGGATCTTTTTCTATGAGAAAAACAGACTATTTGGCCACAGGTGGTTTTCATTTTTTTTTTTTTTAGACGGAGGCATGTGGGTTGACAGCCTTTGAGATCTTCATGCTGTGTATAATGTGCAGGTGCCTTTTCTGTTTATAGAAATGCCTAATCCTTGCTTGAAATTTATTAAATGGTATACCATCTGTAAGCCTCCCTAAATTCCATAGATTAATTAGCCTTTAAAGTTGCCTTTTATCTAACTTTTAGTATAAATTCTTCCATCTGGGAACCTTCCCCTTTATGTGTTTGCTCCGTGTTCCATGCACTTCAGCACTCTAGTGTTAAGTATGGACATCGGCTTTCCCAGGAAAAGTGAAGCTGCCTGAAGCTGAAGCTCACGGGAACAAAGTGGCGTTGTCCTGATTGTTTCAAAGTGTTTGAAACTGATGAGTAATCAATTTGTCATGGGTTTGCTCCCTCCCCCCCCCTTCCCCTTGCTCTGTCTGTCTGTGTATATTTGGTACCTTGACAGTCGTCATAATGGAAGCACTTGTTATGCTGCTTGGGACTAATAACAAAACCAGTTCTAGAGACAGACAGAACTGGGAACTACTGCGATGGCAGGTATGTAAGATCAGCCTTCCTTGTGGAGTTTTAGTTAAAAGTGAAAAAAAAAGCTTTCTTTTTTGACAACTCATGGAATGTGTTTCTTTGTGTGTCCTGACTAAAGATGATAGACAGTATTTGATGCTGGGAGATTATTTAGTTATAGTTTACCGCTGTTGCTAGGAAATACAGTATTTGGGAAGCTATAAGTTTGCTATTATAGTGTGCTGGCTAGTTTTTATGTCCACTTGACACAAGATAGGTTTATTTTGGAAGAGGGGACCTCAATTGAGAAAATGCCCCCATGAGATTGGGCAAGGCAGGGGTCTATTTTCTTAGTGATTGATGTGGAAGGACCCAGCCCATTGTGGGTGGTGCCAACCCTGGGCTGATAGTCCTGGGTGCTATAAAAAAGCAGGCTGAGAAAATTCTATGGTCTTCTCATCAGTTCCTGACTCTAGATTCCTGCTTTGAGTATTTTTTAACCCCAAACGTATTTGTGCAACTCTTAATTGCATATTCTTTTATACAATAATTTTCAAAATAAATGTATGCTTATAAAAATTTTAAAAATTTATTATTTTCTTGTACAATACATTCCACCCACAGCTTCCCTTTCCTCTACCCCTCCCATCACCCCCTCCCTCACAGATCCTCTTTCTCCGCTTCTCCCCATCAGAAAAGAGCAGGTCTCCTAGGGACATCAATCAAACATGGCATAACAAGATACAATAAGACCAGGCAGTAACCCTCATCTCAAGGCTGGGCAAGGCAACTCAGTAGGAGGAAAAGGGTCCCAAAAGCTGGCAAAAGAGTCAGAGACAGCGCCCACTCACACTTTTAGGAGTCCCACAGGAGCACCAAGGTACACAACCATAGCAGAAATGCAGAGGACCCAGCGCAGACCTGTCCAGGCTCTGTGACATGTAGCCGCTTCAGTCTCTTTGAGCCTGCCTTGAGTTCTTCCCTGAGTTCCCTGGATGCTGGACCACAAACTGTAATATGAAACAAATCCTGTCCTCTTCAAGTGGGTTTTGGTCATGGTGTTTATCATAGCAGAAGAAACTCTAACCACGACAGTTGTCTTAAAAGGCACTCATCTGAAACTGTGTAATTGGTTTACTGATGGAGCTGTGATGCACCCGTAGTAGGACGTTTTAAAAAGTCCATTGAGAAACACATAGACATCAGTAACTCATCCATCTATGTATATAGCCTAATGAAGTTAATATTGTTCTTTGGAGGGTCTTTTTTTTTGGGGGGGATTACTTTCTTACCAGCTATCCAAATAAAATTAGGCTAATTATGTAACAGATTGTATTTTTTAAAAAAAAATGTAACAAAAAATTAAGTGTGATAATGGTAGATATTTTTGGTTATTAAACAAAAATAGTATCAGATATGACTTTAGTTTTTAAAGTCTAAAATATAAATGAAAGAAAGATAGTTAGCATTGTTGAAACAACTGAAGTCATTGGAATATTTTGCTGTGTCTTCCAAATTATAAGACTACAAAATATTCAGAGAAAATAAAAAATTAGATGAGAATAATTGAAGAGGTGAGGACTTTAGAAATAGGTTAGTGGAGGAGACGACATTAAGTGGGAATAAACAGTACGGATACAAATGGAAAAATATTGTGGAGGTTATGGAGCAGAGGCTGGAGTTAAGGAGAAGGCATGGTTAGGTAGTGAGTGCACAGTGAAGAAGGTGAAAGTGAAAATGGGTAGTTAGGATAGTTAACTGACTAGCTGGTTCTTGCAGCACAGTGCCAATAAGGCAAAAATATTTTGCGGAGTTTACAACTGGTAGGCAGGATGGGCTAGAAGATAACCCACATGGCTAGGAGTCTGCTGCAGTAGTCTGTGATGTATTTATGGATGCCTGTTTAGGAGGGTGGACAACAGAAATAGAGAACAACAAAATATTTGCGTTGAAATAAACTTGGTCATTAACATTTACTCAATACACTTTTGGTGAGTGAAGGATTGGAAGAGGCAGTAAATTATAGAGAATAAAAAATAATGATATCTTCATAGGTTTGCTGTTATTGTTCTTATTTGTGTTTTTGGTTTGAGACAGTCTCTCATATGGCCCAGACTGACTCTGAAGTAGCAGTCCTTCTGCTTGTAGTCTAGAATGCTGGGATTGCAGGTGTGTCCCACCAAGCCTGGCTTCTGTGTATTTTGAGAGATACATATTACTGAGGAATGGTACTGATACCAACTCTACATGAGAAGTAATCTTCTGAGTAATTGAATCTAGGGTTTGAGAATTTAGTCAATTAATTTTAAACCAGCAATGGTGATTAAATCAGCATGGGTATTTGGCCCTTCATATACGTTGAATTTGCATGTATGGATTCAACATTCTGAGGTAGAAAATAGAAACAGAAAGTTGCACCCACACTAAAAATGTCTAGAACTTTGTTACAGAGTAACAACTGTGCCCATGGTATTAGATTAAGTAACCCAGCAATGGTTTTGCAGTGCTTCTCAACCTTCCTAATGCTGCAACCCTGGGATCCTGGAATTTTCGGTGTGAGCTACCTCACATAGCTCCTTTGAGGCACTTTCTGGGGGCCTTTCTAAACGGCAAGTTAGATGCTCAGCACTGTGCTTCAGAAAACCTCAGCAACAGGTTTGAGAAAACCTTTTTACTCATTTGACCTGAGCTTACTTAATTTGAGCAGTATATTTTAAACGTGTTTTAGATAACTACTAATGTATATTTTGACCAAAGTTGTTTAGAAATAAATTGAAAAATCAGTAGGTTTTGATATTTTGATGTTGTCCCAAAACCAGTACAATGATTTGGTGTAACTTTTCCTAGATTGCTGTACTAAGGAGACAGCAACGGATGATAAAAAATCGTGAGTCTGCTTGTCAGTCACGCAAGAAGAAGAAGGAGTATATGCTGGGACTGGAGGCCAGGTTGAAGGCTGCCCTTTCAGAGAATGAGCAGCTGAAGAAGGAGAATGGGTCCCTGAAGCGACAGCTGGACGAGGTGGTGTCAGAGGTGCGTGCTCGTGTGCAGCTGACTGAGGTGGGGCTAAACTGACCTTTTTTCTTTTAGTTTTTCAAGACAGGGTTTCTCTGTGTAACATCTCTGGCTCTACCAAAACTCACTTTGTAGATCAGGCTGGCCTTGCATTTGCCTCTGCTTCCCAAGTGCTGGGATTAAAGGCGTGAGCCACCTCTTTCTGGCTTGACTTTCTTTTTATTTTTGATAATTAAATTGATAACCACTTTTTAAATAATATAAAATAGTAGTGCTGAGAAAATGGGGGTGCAATAAGCACAAAACATTTATGGTAGGAAAAAATTACAACAATGATCTTTTGAAGATATTTTTCTCCTGGGACCTGAGAATCGAGTCCAGAGCCTCCAGCATGCTGAGCAAGCCTTCTAGCCCAGGGCTACACCAAAACCATTGAAAGGTGACTTTTTGAATTGTCCTTCTTCATCTCCATACAAACACTATCTGCTTTTCTTGGGTTTCTTCCAAACAATTACTTTAGTAATTTGTCTTTCTTTTTCTCTTCTTAGTTTTTTTTTAGACAAGGCCCCAGTTTTTCTTCTTAGTTTTTTAGACTCACTTTATAGGCCATGGCTGTCCTGGAACTCACTATGTAGACCAGGCTGGCCTTGAACTCACCCAGATTTATTTGCCTCTACTTCCTGAGTGTTGGAATTAAAGATGCGAGCACAACGCCAGCTTTTTATCTTTTTGGACCAGGTGAATCACATTGAGGTTCCTGAACAATCCTGCCAGCTCATTCTTTTTATTAGTATTCTTTCAATATTTTTAAATTTAATTTTTTTGTTATTTTTGAGGCAAAGTTTTACTATATAGCCCTAACTGATCTGGGACTTACGTGTTCACTAGGTTGAATTTCAATTTGTATTGGGATTATAGATGTGGAAATTCACACAGAACTGGTCTTTCCCTTGTTTTCTATCTTTACTAATTCTTTGAGAATTTCGTACTATGTGCTCTGGTCATACCAGCCCTCCTATCTCTAACTCTTCCCAGATCCCACCTGCCCTCCCCATCCAGCTTTGTGTTCTCTTGTTAAAAACTGAGATGGACCAATTTGTGCTGCCTAGATGTACTTGGGTATGTGACTGGAGCGTGGCAAAAGTACCAGGGCTACCTTCTTACAAAACACTGACTCTCCCTCCCACAGCAGCTAACAAGTGCTGTCAGCCCCTCAGCTGAGAGGAGAGCTTTGTACCAGCTTCCCTCCCCTGCAAGGGTGTGGTTTGTCCTGGGTGTGCACAGTCTATAGAATTTCACTGGTCAGTGACTCCAAAAGTAACCCATTTCTGGCACTGGGATTTTTGTTCGTCTGTGGTGTCTAATAGGGGCCTTGTTGCATCATTGTAGGGTAACTCCATTTTAACTCATTTTATTTTCCCCTTTAAAAAAGGAAATAATGCAAAATAAAATGTGTTTTGAATCTTTGTCCACTTGACCCCATCATGTTCCTTTGCTTTCTCTTGCCATGATGGTCTCAGAGACATTTATTTCTGTTATGTTTGTGAAACACAGCATTGTAGTCCTGAGCCACTGGATGCCCGCTGAGTGCTGATTCTCACTCTGTGCTTGCTGTCTTGCTCCTGAGTGTGAGAACGCGCTAGTTTGTTGGTGAAGGGAGACAAGTGACAGAAGCCTCAGAATTCTCAGGACCAACAGAATACAAAGCTAAATGCTGTGCCGTTTTTGTTCTTTAAATTCTTTCCTTTGTTGGAAAAGGGAATGTGGAAGACTTTAGTCTTCTGTGAACTACCATTTCTTTACCTTTGAGGTCTTTTATTTTTATTTTCACTATTTTTTTATGAGAAAAAGTATTCATACACCTTGTAAAAAAGGAGGCCTCTTAGTTATTGCTCTTTGTAATGCTGACTTGTAGTTTCATCCTATTTTATTTCCCTTAGAACCAGAGGCTTAAAGTCCCCAGTCCAAAGCGAAGAGCTGTCTGTGTGATGATTGTATTGGCATTTATAGTGCTGAACTATGGCCCCATGAGGTGAGTATACAAGACATGAGTACTAAAGTTTAAATGCTAGTTATTTGTTACTATTTAGATTTACTCATAAGCAAGAAGAAAACTCCTTTGTTTTGAATAAAAATCAGACCTCAAAATATGTAAAGAACAATTTGACAGGAGACAAATTTGACAGGCCACACGATGGAGCTGGGAAGAGAGCCATGGTAAGGGATAGTTCGACATGATGAGTGTGGTAGTGCTGGTGTGAGCAGCAGATGCTGGTAGACTATGGCTGGGAATATGAGTTCCTTAATCATGGCATATCATAGATGAGCAGAACATTTTTCTGTTGAATGATTGATTGATAAGGAAATACTCAGGGAATAATATAAACCTTGAATTATGATACTGGTTTACCATGTGAGAAGTATGGGAAAAGCATGTCAAGCAGAATAATCACTATGTTAAAAGTATGCTTATAAATCATATGACATATTTTTAAAAAGTGAAAAGTTCAGTTTGTATATATACTTGGTTTTGTCTTTGTGTTTATACATATATAATTTAATAAATTATGTTTACAAAAAGGTACATGTTATTCAAAGTGCTTTCTTATTTTAATTATGTTAGCATATCATTGTCTTTTAATAACTTCACCAATTTTTGAAATAAAGATAGGTACTATTATTTGACGTATTTCAGAAATTTTTTGACTTAGGAACCAGCTTATATTATTAAAGTTAAAAATTACTAAGAATAGCAAAGAACTTATATTCATTGCTATTTATTGAGTTATAGACTAAATAAAACAGATTTTGAATATTTGTCCACTTAATCATAAACCATTACATGTTTACATAATTACATGTTCAAATCTTCAAATGGTAGTGACATGGAAGAAAAGTAGCATTGTTTCATATTTTTTCATGCAAATATTGGTGTCTGCCTGATGAGAAACCACTAGGATCGCATGTCTCTCTGTATGTAGTGTGTTGTGATGTAGTGCTAGGTTTGAAATTGATGAACAAAAATCATACTGTTTTGTGAGGTAAGTAAGCTCGCTGAGGCTGCAGAGTTCGAAGCTTCCTAGGGTACCTCAGACTTCTTAGACTGCCCTTTTAAAGCATGTGCTATATTTAGCCTGTGATTGGGCATTTCTAGCATTTCCAATTGTTTATAGGTGTGCATGTCTGCAAGTCTCTGTGTGTGTATAAAATCATCCTGTATCATAAAGAATGCACTAATTTACTCTCCTGCTGGCAGGTGGAAGAAGTGTTCATTTCATTGTGTATTTTCTAATTCTGCATATTAGGGGTGTTTTTCTTTATTTGTTATGTTTACCTTCCGGGGAAGAAAGCTGTTTTTATTTACCCCTGTCACGCTGGCTTCCTTGCCCAACCTGAGATACACTAAGTGGGTGCAGTGTCAGGTCTTCCTGTGTGTTATTCCCAAGGCCTTCAGTGCTTCAGAGACTTTTTGTTAAGTATCAGCTCAAGTGCCCCCTCCCCGCAAGGATCTTTTTGGACATCTTTCTCTCCTTGCTGTTCTTACTCCACTGTCACCTCTTCCTTCTTTTGGTTTTCTAATCTGCTCCCTTTCCTCCCAAGCTCTGTGACTTCTATTAGCTTAACTTTCCTTCTTTCCCTGCAAGAATTATGTTTTGTTTTGCTTTGTTTTTTCTCTTTTCTTTATTTTTTTTTATTGATTTTTGTTGAGCTACACATTTTTCTCTGCTCTCCTTCTTTCCTCTACCCTCCCCTTCAACCCTCTCCCATGGTCCCCAGGCTCCCAATTTACTCAGGAGATCTTGTCTTTTTCTACTTCCCATGTAGATTAGATCCATGTATGTCTCTCTTAGGGTCCTCATTGTCTAGGTTCTCTGGGATGGTGATTTGTAGGCTAGGTTTCTTTGCTTTATGTTTAAAAACCACTTATGAGTGAGTACATGTGATAATTGTTTTTCTGGATCAGGGTTCTCTCACTTAATATGATGTTTTCTAGCTTCATCCATTTGCCTGCAAAATTCAAGATGTCATTTTTTTCTGTTGTGTAGTACTCCATTGTGTGAATGTACCACATTTTCCTTATCCATTTTTCGGTCAAGGGGCATTTAGATTGTTTCCAGGTTCTGGCTATGACAAACAATGCTGCTATGAACATAGTGAGCCCTTGCCATTGTGGCACGATTGAGCATCCTTTGGCTATATACCCAAAAGTGGTATTGCTGGGTCTTGAGGATGTTTGTTTTGCTTTGTGTTTTTGTTTTTTAAGACAGGGTTCTATGTTTAGCTCTGGCTGTTCTGGAACTCAGTCTGTAGACCATACGGGACCTGAACTCAGAGATTCACCTGCGTCTGTCTCCTAAGTGGTGGCATTAAAGGTGTGCATTACCACATCCAGCTCCCTGAAAGAATTTTATCTCTTTTTTTTAATTAGATTTTTTCCCTTTTTTATTACTTAAAAAAATACCAATCCAAATTCCCACTCCCTCTCCTCCTCCCAGTCCCCTCTCTCTCCCTCTACAGACCCTCCCCACCACCCCTCCAACCCTAAGGGAGTGCCATGCCCCCCGTCCTGTGGAAAGTTCAAGGCCCTCCCTACTATGTCTAGGTTGAGCAAGATTTACATCCAAAGAGAATAGGATCTCATGAAGCCGGTATGTGCAGTAGAGACACATCCCATTGTCACTATCAGTGGCCCCTCAGTCTGCCCCAGCTGTCAACCCCCTTCTGAGGGGCTTGGTTTTTCCCATGCTCGTTCACTCCCAGTCCAGTTGGAGTTGATGAGCTACCATTAGTTCAAGCAAACTGTCTCAGTGGATGACCCCCTCATGGTCTTGAATTCCTTGCTCATACTCTCACTCCTTCCACTCTTCAGCTGGATCTTGGGAGCTCAGTCCAGTGCTCCGATGTGGGTCATTGCCTCTGTTGTTGGACGAAGGTTCTATGTAATATTTAAGATAATCATCAGTCAGACTACAGGGTAAGGTCAGTTCAGACACCCTCTCCTCTATTGCTTAGGGTTTCAGCTGGGTTCATCCCTGTGGGTTCTTGGGCATTTTTCTAGAGCCAGGTTTCTTGCTAACTTCATAATGGCTCCCTCAATCAAGAAATCTCTTTCCTTGCTCTCATATCTGTCCTTCCTCCATGTTGACCATCCCATTCCCTCAAGTTCTCCCCATTCCCCCTTTTCTGCCCCCCTCTACTCCTTGCTTCCCTGCTCCCAAATTTTTGGCTGATTTCAATTTCAAGGTTGGTCTTATATATGTTTTTCTTTGGGTTCACCTTTTTACTTTAGTTTCTCTAGGATCGTGAACTATTGGCTTATTGCCCCTTTTTAATCCGTATCCACTTATGAGTGAGAACATACCATATTCGTTTTTTTTGGGTCTGGGTTATCTCACTCACGATGATGTTCTTGCTAACTCCATAATGGCTCCCTCAATGAAGATATCTCTTTCCTTGCTCTCATATCTGTCCTTCGTCCATCTCAACTATCCCATTCCCTCAAGTTCTCCTCAACCCTCCCCTTCCTTCTACCTGCCCCACTCCCACCCTTATGTTCCCAATTTTGTCAAGTGATCTTGTCTGTTTCCAATTTCCAGGTGGGTCTATATATGTTTTTCTTAGGGTTCATCCTATTATTTAGCTTCTCTTGGATTATGAACTATAGGCTTAATGTACTTTATTTATAGCTAGTATCCACTTATGAGTGAGTACATACCATATTAATTTTTTTGGTTCTGGGTTACCTTACTCAGGATAGTGTTTTCTACTTCCATCCATTTGTATGCAGAATTCAAGATGCCATTGTTTTTTTTTTAACTGCTGACCACATTAGAATTTTATCTCTTGATTTCTAGTGTCTTGAATAATGCCTGACATGTAGTTGTCGCTGAATAAATATATACTATAGTACTAATGAACTAGAAATAGGATCTTCAAAACTGTTGGAGGAGTAGCTTGGTAGTAGAATGCTTGACTGGATGAGATTCTCAGCACAATTCGGAGTAGTGGGTAAAAAAAATTCTTTAGCTAATTGTTAGTTGTAGCCCCCTTTTAAAAACTACTTACAGTCTTGATTAAAAAAAATCTTCCTTCTTGTATGAATTGCTGTAAACCACTTGCATGTATTAAGACATACATCTAGCACTGATTCACAGTCTGCTTGACAGATCTTTCATCCGTTTACTCACGGCTCTTTCTGTGCCGGTGTGCACACCAGTTCAGAACCGAAGGGCCTGCTGCTCACTCTGCTAGTTTAGCTGTGATCTGAGACACCATCCGCACTGACATCCTTGGCATTGTCTGTTCAGCAATTTCCCACCAGTTACACAGTTTATCATAGGCATTTTCTTCCACTTGCTAAAGTCTTACTTTTCCTTATGTTACTTTATAATTTTCTTACATTAAGGTCTCAACTCTCGTCTAATTCACTGCTTTTCTTTTGTAGAAATAACAGTGTTCATCCCAGAGCACAGACATTTATACACATTCGTTCATGTTCAGTTTCTGGGAAAGTGTGTGTGCTTTCAGCCCCTCACATCTTGTGAGTCTGTATGCAGTACATGTTCATCTGTTAGGTTGAACATGAGCTAATATTTATAGGTCGCTTACTATGTTCAGACACTGAGCAGGGAATGCAGGCCTGAATGAAAGTACAGTCTAGTAAGGGAAGCAGACATGTAAATAACTGTAGCCTGTGGAAGAACTGCGAAGATACCATGTATGACAAAGGCATTTAGAAATGAAAATAAACATCTGTTTTTCTTAAACCCACTTCTCTCAACAACAACATGTATGGGTTTTCCATACATGTCATTCTTCTTAATTTTTTGGCTATCAGTTGGCATGCTTCTATTGGACTCAGTTCTCAGACTTTTAAGCATTTACACAAGCCTCCACAGGTTTAAGGGCTTAGTGTTAGGTGACCCTTCCATCCTTCAGCCGTCAGCCACAGTCTTGGGCACACAAGCTATCAATTGCTCATTCTCTAATAATTGTTAGAGTGACTTACAAAGCTCAGTGAAACATTTTTCT